GAGGGGTGGTGTCACTGTCTTCAGAGGACAACCTGTGGGAGTCTGTTTTCTCCCTTCATCATGTAGGTCTTGGGGAATGAACTCAGGTCCTCAGTCTTGGTAGCAAGTACCATCTTGCCAGCCTGGATGTGAAATTCATAGCAGCTTTTTTCATAGCATCACAAAATCAGGCACCTTATAAATGTGCGAACAGTGAAGCCTCTAAGCAGTGGAATGTTATTCTACAATACAAAGGTGCTGCTGATAATGAAGAACACAGATGAGTCTCAAATGGACATGAAGTAAAAGATGTCAGACACAAAGACCAGACATAGAAGAACTCTATACACTCAGTAAAGGCAAAATGACAGTGATGAAGCAAGCAGGCCTGAGGCAGGTACCAGCTGGTGCAAGGGAGGGGGAAGAGGCAGAGGGGAAACTTCTTGGGTAGATGGCAATGGGACAGGTTGACTATAATGATGGTTAAACCACTGTATACATGTTTCAAGTTCATCAAAATGAACTCTTAAAATTGGTAACTTTTTCCTGTATAAATTATAACTCAATAAATATGATTTTAATTTAAAACAGACTTTAGGAGGCTGGAGAGATTGATCAGTGGCTAAGAGCACTGGCTGCTCTTGCATAGGACCTGGGTTCAGTTCCCAGCACCTGCATGTCAGCTAACAACAGTCTGTTACTTCAGTTCCAAAGGATACAATGCCCTCTTCTGGCTTCCACTGGCATTGCACACACATGGTGCACTTACATACACATAGGCAAAATACTCACACACATAAAGTAAAAATAAATTTTAGAAAAATTTAAAGACTCTAAGAAACCCATTAAATTGGTAGCAGAGATTGACATTGAATCATAAAACTGAGGCTGCTTCTTCAGCTCTAATTTGTGAGCATCTGCAGAGAGTCTTTCCCTCAATGGAAACACTTTACATTTGAAAGGGAAACAGACCTTCCCAGGAGAACTTGTGGGTATTCTCAGTGACTTTTTACTGTGGCACAGGGATTTGAATGATCTGGATTTCAACTTGTCTCTGCCATGCCATGGGGTGTGACATTTAGACTATCTCAACTCTCTGGGCCTTAGTTTTCCCTCCTGTATCCATAACACTGGGGCTAGGAAGGAAGCAGGAGAGTTTCATTCTTGCTTTCCCACAGGGTGTGGGAAAATCATCCCAAGTAAGATGAGTCAACCAAGCACAGGTGACAGAGCAACTGAGGCTCTTGGTTAAAGCTCTGTGAAGTGCCTTGATTAGAGCTGGGACTGAACATGACGTATGTCTAGATATTGCTGGGTGCAAGCTGGGGTGAAGGCTTTTTTCCAGAGAGTCATTTTGGAGGAAAACCAGAAATGGGATGGACATCTCTAATTGGAAAACTGAACTCCAAAATCTGAAATACTTTGAGTACTGACATGTCAAAATGTAGGTGCATCAGAGCCAGATGTGCAGTACACACCTAAAATCCTAGCACTCAGGAGGCTCAAGCAAAAGTACCTTGAGGCCCAGGACAGCTTAGGCTATATAACAAGACCTTGGAGAGGGGAAAGAAGGAAAAAATAGAAAGTCCATTAAAAATATTATATGCTGGGGCTGGAGAGATGGCTCAGTGGTTAAGAGCACTGGTTGCTCTTGCAGAGTACCCAGGTTCGATTCCCAGCACCCACATTGTGGCTAATAACTGTCTGTACCTCCAGTTCCAGGGGATCCAAAGCCCTCTTCTCATCTCCGTGGGCACTGCACGACATGGGTGTACTTACACATGCAGGCAACACACTCGGAGAGATGGCTCAGCAGTTAAGAGTTCCCAGCACCCACATGGCGGCTACGAACCATCCTTAACTCCAGCTCCAGGGGAATCCTAAGCCCTCTTCTGATCTCCGAGGCATTGCACGACATGGGTGCACTCACATACATGCAGGCAATACACTCACACACATAAAGAAATTAAAAAAAAATATTGCATGAAGTTCCCTTCAGGCTGTGTATAAGGTGCATACAAAGCATAAATGAATTGTTCTACTATCCTTGAGTCTCATCCAAGACATCTTAATAGGCATATTCAAATATCTGAGTATGTGAGATCTGAAACACTTCTGGTCCCAAGCATTTCAGAGGAGGGATACTCAACCTGTACTCCCCACAGGTTTAACAGGTGTTTGTCACGCTGGGTCTTAGGATGGACCATAGCCCTCTGCATACACTGATTGCCTCTGCCACCCTCATCAGTCCTGGGAGAGGCCTGATAAACTCTCTCACAGGTAGAAAAAAGGGAAAAAGAGAAACCCAGAGTACACAGAGGCCCAAAGGATCAGAAATCAGGGTGGCCGCATTCTCAATCTATATGAGTTCGGTCAACCTCAACTGTCACCCAGAAAGTCTCCAGAGTGCCTCTCAGCTGTGCTACCTACCACTGGTAAGATCTGGAAGGGCTGAGCTCTGAGAGGCCATGTCCACTATCTCCCACCAGGGTCTGTAGTCTGTGGGTGGGTATTCAGCCTGTGCTATCTGAATGGCGCTCACCTCCAGGGATGGAATCCTGGTCTCATTATCACTGATTTCATAACCTTGGCAAGTTAACATAACCACTTTAGCTTCAGTTCAGTTTTCTCTGGCATGTTTGTATGCATATATTCAGGTATGTTTGTGCGTGTGGAAGTCGGGGGATAACTTAAGCTGTTGTTCCTCAGCCATAATCCACCTTATTTGCTTTTCTGAGACAGGTCTATCACTGGTCTAGAATTCACCAAAGAGCCTAGGCTGGCTGGGCAGGGAACTCCAGAGATCCACCTGTTTCAATCTCCCCAGCGCTGGGATTACAAGAGAGCACCAGCATATCTGGCTGTTCTATGTGGGTTTGGAGGATTGAATTCAGGTCTTTATTCTTCCAAGGCAAGTACTGTACTTGCTGAGCCATTTCCTCAGCCCTTCAGGTTTCCTTTTCTATGAAATGAACTGTGGCATTTAGAACAGTTTGAGAATTAAGTGGTGAATATGTGTAAAACTCTTAGATCAAGGCTTGGCACTAAGTAACTGAAATGATGTTGGATAGCTCTGATGAACTGTGCAAATTCGGGCCAATTATTGTGCTCTCTGGGTCTTTAAAAAGGGAAGAAAATGCCAATAGTAAGTTTGGTTGAGAAGAACAGATGAGATCCATGCAGAGTTCCAAGTACCAGAGCTGGCACACAGCAAGTGCTTGACAATGGCAAGCACTCACTATCATTAGCTATCATCAGCATCATGGCTGCAGGCTCTACTCCTGAACCCTCGCCAGGGCAGACAGGTTCCTTCCAGCACAGAGAGGAAGTTTATTAGTGTGAATTAGCCTATGCCATTCAGCAGGTCTTAATGAGATCAGTGTAACTTGAGGCTGATCCCCCTTATCAGTGGTGCTGTGAACTGCGCAGCTCACGATGCTTAATTTCTCTCCACGGAGCCAATCCTTTAATCCCGATTCAGTCTGGCTGGGATTTCACCTGGCTTTGCACTGGACTGCGGTGCAGGCATTCTCTGGCTGCGCTGGACCAGCACAAAGTAGCCTGCAGCTCCTCTGAGCAAGTCAAGATGCTTGGGAATGATGAGGCCACTTCCCGGCTCAGCCTTGACTTGCATTTTAATGGTCTCTTTCCTCCAACTGCTTGAGTGATGTGGAAGCACCCACAACCAGACTCACCCCTAGTTACCGCTTCCCTCAAGTTGGCAGGGACAGGGAGAGTCCAGGGGGAGGGAGAGAGAAGAGAGGGAGGGAGGGGGAATGGAGGGGCACAGAGAGAGATGCTAGGCTGTTTGGCTTCGGCTTGGTACCCAAGTAGTAAGACTAGCAGTCCAGGGCTGCTAGTTCCCCTCGGGGTTATGTTTAAATGTTTTCACCCTCCTTGGCTCATGGCAGAGTCACAAGGGAGATGAGGGACACGTGAGACATGGGGTTAGGAGGACAGCAGGCAACAGGGGTCTGTGTGCCCAGCTCAGTTGTGATTATAGAGTGCATTAGGGGAAAAAAAAAAAAAAAAAGATCATGTGAATTTGTGCCTAGTATATAGCAAACACTACAAACAGGTTGGATAAACAAGTGAATGAGTGAATGAATGGCTGCAGTAACATCACAGAACCTGGTGGAAGATGGAGTCTAGTCCTGGAATAGTGTGTGCCAGTCAGAGACACAGAAGTCTCTGAGTACCCATGGGAGCTTGGAGCCACAAAAGACAAGGGGCCTGGATCCCTGAGTCCCCAAGAGGGAGGTTCCCAGTCAGGCTACTTGCAGTGGCTGTGTGTGAGGAGTGATTCATAGGTAAAACACTGAGGGCTGGGGAGTCTACCTGTTGACACACACTGTCTCCTTGACCGAACACAAATTGGACCGTAGGTTGGTGTCACTTGTAGTATCTGCAGGCACAGGCTTCCCTGGGAAGCAGGAGTTTTGTGCCATATAGCGCTAAGGGTGGGGGCAAGGCTCAGAGAGTTGACTGGACGGCTGAGCCTGCATGCTCGGAGGTGGTTCAGTATGTCCCAGGCCCAAGAACACCTGCAGACTTGCCTCCCCACCCCCAGAACATCCCTCCTGACAATTCCTATGTATGCTCCAGTTTGAGCACCAGGGCTTTGGAGAGGCAGGACACTGAATGGCATGAGATGGCTGGGGAAGGTCTGAATCCAGTCTCCCTGGCTGCTGGCCTTGCCACCTCTACTTCCAGTCTCTGCTCACCTTGACCTTGAACCATATTCAAGTCCCAGATCTCTTTTCCTGGCTTTCAACCTGTGAGATGCCTTCTTTCATTCCTCTGCTGAGCCTGAATTGAAGACACCCCCCCCCACCTCCAGCTCAGACTGTCTTGTGATAATAGAGTGGCTGGCTAGTGCTTGGAGGGCAGGATGTGTCCTGTCACCAGCTCCCAGGAAGACAGAGCATTGTGCAGGGGCCCTTGGACAGGCTCTGCTGGTCTCTTCCATTTGTAGGAAGTGAGGCGGGGAGGGGAGGGGTTGGTGGCCTCTGGGCCCTTACCTGCATGTGACTGCATGTGCTCCAATAAGTTGTTATAGAACTGGAACTGGATTCCACAGGCGCCACAGGTGTAGGGTTCTGGGGGAGACAGGCAGTGAGTGAGAGGCAGCCCACACCCAGATGCCCATCCACTGGGCCACAGGCAGCTTTGGAAGTGGGGACTCAAACACATACTTGGGACCCTGGGCCCAGCCTGTTCACTGGACTATCACTAGCCTGGAGAGGGAAAGGCTGAGGAGAGGGAGGAGCATGGAGAGAGGAAGACAGATAAGAGGATGCTAAACTCAATGGGGCGGCTGCTTATTGAGTGCTTACTGCGTGCCAGGCACTGTTCTGGGCACATGGGAAGGACAACATCCAGGGACCAAGGGCTCTCTGGAGAGTACAGACTGTGTCCCTCCAGGCTCATAGTCTATCCCTCTGCCTGTGGGACCACACAAGGGCTCCCAGAGGGAACAAACGAATGGACTCATGAATGAACAAGGTAACTCACAATGGGAGGTGTGGAGAGGGAAAAAGAAGTGAGAGAAAGAAGTCGAGAAAGCCAAAGAAAGCACAACAGTGGAGCATGATGGGAAAGGAGGGGCTATACCACCTGAACCATCAGCTTTGTGCACTCAGCACTCACACCAGTGCCTGGCAGAGAAGAGGGAGGAAGAAGAGGAAGAAAGAGCTGGGTGGAAGAGGGTGGCTGGAATGGGCTCGGAAGAGGAGTCCTGAGGCTTCCCGGATGGCCAGGGCTGGGGAAGCCTGTACTCACACCACATGCTCAGGGTTCCACCTATCTGTCCACATTCCTCTACCCTCCTGGGGCTGGGCCCTCAGTTGCCTCCTCAGCTACTGCTGGAATTCTCCAGAGGGTGGCCCAAGGGCTGTCTATACCTTGGGGAGGCCAGTGGAGTTCATCCTTACCCTACCTTGCCCTCTCCAGCCCCCCAGAAGGACCACCACTTACTCTGCAGGAGAGGGAAAGGATTGGAAATCAGGGGACTTGCAGTTTCTGCAAAAGAGAAACAGTTTAGCTAGGTCTCTTCCAGTCCTGCTGCTGTGTGGACATCACACCTGGAGAGCCAAGAGGTGCTCTCAGTAGAGAGGGAACACCTGCCGTCAGGCACATACTCTACAGTGGGGGAGGGGATCCTGGGAGCTGGCAGGGGCCACACTCATCAGAGAAGGCAGGTGTCCCGAGGGGGCTGGTCACCAGCCATGGCCAGAGCTAGTAGGGCCACTCCTCTAGGGTGCCCTGTGCTCTGAGAGTGAGGCCACAGGACACATGGGAGTGCCCATGTGTGGTTGCCCACTTAGGGACAGGATGCTGGAAGCTGTTTCCAGTTCCTGACACTGGGATGGGAATGTTTTGTACCAAGGATACAAGTAGCTCTGGGCAGGGCCTTGCTTTTGAGGGTTGCTTGCTGGCAATCCCCCACACCACCTGGCACTGCCAGAGGGTTAGGCTGGTAAGCTTCCACTGCAGCAGGCAGCAAAGTGGGGTGCAGGCAGAGTAGTGGGGAAATCCTGGCTCTACCTACAGTGTGGGGAGACCTGGGGCTATAATAGACCTATCCTGAGCCTCAGTTTCCTCATCCGGAAAGTGGGGATAACCGCAGCATGGTCCCTAGGGGATTGTGGTAAGGGTGAAAACAGATACGACACATAAAGCTCTGAACACATGCGAGGCACGTCATAAGCGCTCAATAAATAGTGGCTGCCAGCAGCAGCGGCCCATGACAGCATCGTTCCTCAACTGTCAGCTCTGGTGTTAGGAGAGGCACAAGGTGTACAGTATAGCTTTACTGGGAGCCCAGAGCATGCCAGGAGACCTTGGTTCCAGTCCTATGCTGTTACTTGATCCTGTGTGGCCTCAGGAAGGTCACTCCTCTCCAAGTACTGCCCCTTACACAGGCTCTATGGATTACAGTGACACCTCTACTCTGGCCCCAAGGTACTATCACTCGGTTTACTAAAAAGCAAAACAAGGCAAAACACCTCTAAAGCACAGTACACCTCTCCCACTTGTGTCCTCTGGGGCTGTTTGTGGTCTCCATTCCACTTACAGTCAAGGAAGAGCTAGAAGCTAGCCTATGCTGCCCACTGGGGGTGGTGGATCTGAGCACAAACTGAGTGGCTGGGGCCATTACTGGCAGAAATCTCCACCTCCTATCTGTGTTCCTGGACATTTGCTCAAGTCCATGGTGGCCAAGATATGTCTACTACCTGTGTATACCAGGCAGTGTCTGGTACAGGGAGGCTACACGCTGAGGCCCAGTATTTGATGAAGTCAATTTCACCGGTGTACAGTGAATGCCTTACCCTAATATACCCAGTGGCAGAACACCTGTCCCTCCTGTCCTGGCTGTCGCTGTGCCTATCAGCTTGCGGACTCTCTCAGACAGAGGCTGCTGGTGACCACCCACAGCCATGTCCAGGCTAAACCCTAGACTCCAAAGCTGTCTTGCAGGCTCCAGGGCTCTGCCAGGGTCCCACAAGAGGCAGCCACGAGGGGGCGGCAAACACCACCAAGAGTCGGCAGAGCAGCAAGCCCTGCAGGGACTAGAAGGAAATCTGTTCTGTGGTCCTGGGTCCAATGTGGGTCCAGAACTTGGGGTCTCTGAATCTTGTAAGCACACTCTCTATTGCACCCATTTGCCTCTCCTGGAAAGAAACCAGCTATGGCTCGCTTAGGCCTACCCATTTGGGCTGGCTGAGTTGATGGATGCCTGAGTTTGGGAATGGGTAAGTTCCTCTCTCCATGGGGAAGGGTCAAAGAGAAGTCACAGAAGGGTATCCAGGGAAACAAAGGCCTCCTCTTCTTCTGCCAGGCCCTGCTGTCTCTCCGTCTCCCTGCCCACCTCCTCCCAAAACGCCCCACCATGTACCGGAAGAACCTAGACATAGGTACTTGCCCTTCCAGGGGAGAGGGTGACAGTGCAGTACAGGCCACTGTCACATGTCACATCCCAGGCACACTCACCACTGGAGTTTTGTGAGCTGCTATTGGTTTCTTCAAAGTGGTTTTGTGCTTTGCTTTCTACTCTCCGACTGAAAGCGCTTTCTGCTGGGTGGGGGAAGGAGAGAAAAGAGAGAGAGGATGCCATGGGGGAGTGGTCAGCTCGACAGGCAGGAAGGGGTTGGCAGGAGGTCTCTGTTGGGGAAACCACAACTTCCAGGTCCCAAGAAATCTGAGCAGTGCCTGGATGGTGCAGGAGTGTGTGTGTGTGTGTGTGTGTGTGTGTGTGTGTGTGTGTGTGTATGTGTGTGTGTGTGTGTTTGGGGTATTTTTTTGTGTGTGTGTGTGTGTGTGATCTGTCCGAGGACATGCAGATGAAATCCAGTAGACAACAAACAGGCCAGGGCCCCATCTTTGACTCCAAGACATCTGTGTGACACCAAGTCATTTGAGTCTGCCCTCTGCTGTTGCTTCCTCTGACAGATTCTGTGCCACAGACCCACAAAGGAACAGGGACAGGAAGATGGCAGCCTGTTTCCTGGGGGTAGTTCTGACCCAGCAGGAAGCTAAGGCAGCAGATTCCAGCTCTAGCACCTGATGACCCAGGGCATGGAGAGTGTCCTGGGGCAGAGGGCATGATGATGAGGGTAAGGGTGGCTTCATACCTGCTCCTGGAAGACCAATGGCTAGGTGAGGAGGGTCAGAGCTCAGGGAGGGAGGAGTGACTGCCCCCCACCCAGGGAAGTCTAGCCTCTTCTCCAAAGCTCACCCTCTCCCAAGCTCCCACAATGCAGAGATGAAAATCACACTTGTAATCTCTCCCTGATGTGCAGAAGGTAATGGAGCTTTTCCATGGTATTCTGGGTACCACAGGGCATGGCTGGTCCAGGAGATGATGGTCTCAGGTGACAAATCAGTCTGGAATGCTCAGTCAACCTCACCCCTTTAAAATGCTTTATTTATTATTTTTATTTTACATGTATGAGTGTTTTGCCTACATGTATACAAGTGCACCTGTGTCATGTGATGCCCGTGGAGGGAGAATGTCAGAAGAGGAAGTCAGATCCCCTGGAAATGAAGTTAGGGACAGTTGTTAGCCACCATGTGGGTTCTGGAAACCAAACCTGAGTCTTCTGCAAGAGCATTCAGTGCTCTGAACCAGAGTCATCTCTCCAGCCCCAGACCCCAGCTCTTTAATGAGGAAAAATGACTTGCACGACGAGTCTATCAAAGGGCCAGAGAAACCTGACTAGCAGGAGTTACTCAGCATCCCTCCAAACTATCAGAGGTTCTGGGAGAACCCATCTTAAATGTAAGATTCAGTAATACCCTCTTAAATGGGAACTCACTTAGAGGACCCGTCCTGCCAGGTCTATTCTACCTAACAATGGCAGCTGCTGGGACTGGTTGCTCTGGGGGCTATAGGTAACAGATGGGAAAGGCAGCCAGAGGTGGCTCCTACAGGCCTGCTCAGTTCCCTCATTCTTACCCCAAGGTCTCCCACAGTCGACAGAGGCTGTTGATGTCACAAGGACCAAGTTTTTGTCTGTGTCTATAGCCACTTAAGCTAAGGACCTGCAGACAGAATGTAAGTGGGCAGAGGGCCCTTGGTTTACTGTCTACAGAGAGTGAGGGGGTCCTCACTCTTGCACACTTTCTGTCACAGAGTCAGAGTCTTGCTATCCTGGTCTCCTTTAATCCTCCTAACACCACAAGGCTACATGGTCACACTCATTTAACAGGAGGAAAGGCAGAGGACAGAGTGATGCTGTCAAGTTCCTGGGCCTGGATGTGCTCCTAACTTGCTAAGCGTAACGTAAGCTTAGCCTGGTGATAAATGCCCTCTGGGACAGGAAGTGGGATCCCTTCTCCACCTCAGTCCTGTGTCCACAGGGAAACAAGCAAGTGGGCAGAAGTGTTGTTAGCCAAACCCAAGTCCCAACTCCTACAGTAAGGCCCCAGTAGGATGCACTCTCAACAGCTATCCTTCCTGTAAGACACATGGCACACACACACACACACACACACACACACACACACACACACACACAGAGCTGTGGTCTCCAGGATGACATCAGAGACAACTTCCACCTCTCTGATGGACTACTTCACAGACTGCTACCTCCTGCTCCCAACTTGGTACCCTTAGAGTCCACCAGCTGCTAAACCCAGGTGAGTTCCACCACAGGGTTTACGAGTTCTACAGAGGCTGTTGCTGGTGTGCCCATGGCTTACTAGACACTTGCTTGAAGACAGGGACATTCAAAGACTACCATGTCACATGAGTCCCCACAGACAGGAGTAGAACAAGAATGGAAAGCCATGGTTCTTTTGTATTTTTTTTTATGAGTCAGTGCCTACTACAAAGGAGACCATAGTGACCAGTCTTTTTTTATTTTTATTTTTTCCTTTGGTGGTACTGAGGATCGAACCCTAGGACTTTGTACATTCTAGGCAATGGCTCTACTATCTCTCTTTTTGCCTTTGAGATGGCATCTAGCTATGCTGCCCAGTCTGGCCTTGACCCCACTCTATAGCCCAAGCAGAATTTGAATTTTTGATCCTCCTGCTTCAGCCTCCTGATTGCTATAAAAAACACAACTGTCATCATATGATACGTAGAAAATCTGTACTCCAAGGCCGCTAACTCTCCTCCTTTTGGGAAATCTGAGCCCAATAAACACCAAATTAGCCTCCTGACCAGAGGAAAGGCAAACACAGCCAGGTTACCAGTCACCAATGACCCTAGTAGCTCCTTCACCTGACCCATCAGTGTGATCATGCTACATGTTTAAAGGGCAGCTCTGGCTTCCCCAGGGCAACTAAAACACCCATGACCCCAGAAGCACAGCACCATCATAGTTGGTAGGTGCCTCAAGGCTGTTCTCATGCAAGTCTGAATCCCCAGATTTCGGGCTGCTGGTGCTTAGCACATAGTAGGTCTTATCATGTTCTCCTGGAGGAAATGACCACTGGGGACTTTATTGCCCAGCCATCTTTTTGGAGCCAGAGTCTTTTATTGCATGGACCTGGAAACTTCTAGAACTGCCATTCTCTGGTTTCCCACAAGGCCTCTACCTGGGGAGTGTTAGAGAGAGGTCAGGGAGAAAGAGCTCCAGTTCGCTGCCCTGCTTCGTGGAGAGCAGCTTTGCGCTACGTGAGCTTGAGGTAGTTTCGTGAAAGGTGAAGATGCAAGTTCATGCCAAGGGATCCAGGCAGGTGACACAAATGGATGAACTGGGCCAATGGTCACAGACAACAGTGTGATCACGATGAGACAGGAAGCCTGCCATGGGACCTCTGCCTGGATGCAGTGGGGAGTGGTAGGGGTTGGGGAACAAGGGGGTACACAGGCATCAACTATGAAGGAGGCACTGGCTGTTGCCCTGCAGAAAGGCGGCCCAGGAGCCAGACCTGGCATTTCAACACACCCAGAATCCCAAAGTTCTAGGTCAACTCTTCTCATGCACAAACACTGTCAATTTTTAAAAAGCATTTAAACTTAGTAAAGGGCAAATAAAACAGACCCCATCCCCCAATCAATATTTTTTTGGGAAAAAAATATTGCATTACTTAAAAAATGTTTGCAAACTTTGTTGCATAACCCTCTAATGGAGGGGTCAGAACTGGTGGTTTGCCCAGATCACAGAGCTGGCCAGAAGAAATAGGCCCCAATCTGACCCAAAGCATGATGTGACCTCTATTCTTACAGGGGAACAGCTGTGGCAGGTGGTGGGCAGGGAGCCAGGGAGGCATGGGTAATGGAGTCATTGGTACCTGCAGTTGCCTTGCTTGCTGGAGATCCCGAATTTGGAGTGCGGAACGTCTGAGTTTGGGTGGCTGGAGGGGTGCGGTGTAAGAGGGTGGTGCATCGGACCACGGAGGCCGGAGCTTTTTTCCCCGACTGGTTCGTCTGGGTCTTCGCTGCCACGAAGCGTGGAGACGGGGTGACCTCTGGATGGGAACACTCAGAGCCCGTGTCTGGATCTTCCGGTGGCTCCCACCCGGGGGCAGTACCTGAGAGGGTCATGCTCTCAGTCCCTGAGGGCCCTGGGAGCCTGCCAAGTGAGCGGCCTCTCAGGCCACAGGCTCCTAAATGTCTGCTTTGGAACATCTCTGCCCAACCTGCCCTAATTCCACAGACAGAAAGGCTCACACCCCTACCAGGAGCCTCAGAACCTCTCAGAGTCTAGAAGCTTCCCTAGTTTCTCCCTTAAGGGGAAGCTGCCCATCCCCCTCACCTGTCATGCTCAGAGCTACCTGGAAAACAATACCAGCCTACTTCTGGGTCACCATCATCTCTGATTAGCCCGGTCTCTGAATGTCTAAGTCCTTAGCCTGTGACCCAGGCTTGGGGCATCTGGACTAATTATTTCAGACCTAAGTACATTTTCCTAGAATGTTAGTCTAGGTTAAAGTAATGTACAAAGCCATCAGGTAGGACTTGCTGGTGGAGTAGAGGAAGGGAGAAGGCTTCATAGCATCCTGTTGGCATGGGCTGGGAACTTCTTGGAAGACAGTACATAACATAGTGACTGCCACAAAGGTATGGCCACCCCTATGAAGTCTGAGCAGCCCGCCTCACCTGCATTCTCTATAGACCCATGCTCTGAGAATGGGTGGATTCTCAGGCAGTATCCACATCTAGTGGTCTTGGGTGGGCAGTGTACTCTGAGCTTGGCTCTAACCTGGCCCATTCCCCATTAATAAAAAGAGAAGTAGGTAAGGTCTACTCCTTGGGAGACCATGCAAGGCCTACATCTATGATGGATGGAAGGAGACCAGGCAGAGAAGGGAGGGGCTCCCAGAAGCCACAGGAATTGGCACTATCTTGAGGATCCCACCTGTGCTCATGGTCTGGGTCCCTACTCTGAGCTGCCTCTGTGATGGTGGTGGGGCCGCCTCACAACCCTGCTCTCCAGACAATGTCCTGGGCATCAGAAACTCAAATCTGCCATGTCAGAGGCCATGATGAAAGGCCCTCAGCTCTCAGCTTTCTCTCATTTCTAGTACAGACTGGGAAGCTGAGGCCCACAGAAGCAGGAAGTAGGAAGCAGGAAGCAGGGCTCCATGCAAGTCACAGTTCTTTTCCCTGCAGAGTTGGGAGCTCTGAGCTGCCTGCTCCTACAGGGCTGGGAAGTGCCAGAGGAGGGGTGTCTTTCAGCCATGGCTTCCCTAACAAACCCCAGTCTCTCTGAAGAGATCCCCAGGACCTCAATCTGAAGGCGCCCCTCAACTTCTGGACTCTTCATTTTCTGACTAGAGAATCGAGAAGCCTGAATGGCAAAGGTAACTTCACGTCTCTTTCCCTCGTTCCTCACTGTTTCTGACATGAGTTGAACCAAAAGGACGGTCCATCTGATTGTTTCTCCCACTCATTGTTACCACAAAGTAAACCTGTATCTTCAACCTTGTGGTGGTGCCCAGAGCCCATTGCTGATTTTTCTACTATCTCCCTGTGGGAGAGACAGCTTGGGGACCATGGCGGAGGCTCACTCGAGCCTAGAGTGAGGTTGGAGAGATCAGACCACCTCCAAAGTTCAGGTCTATGATTTCTAGCCTCCACATTTCTGAGATCTGTACTTCTCTCTAGGGTCTTAGTTTCCCTTTCCAATCTCCATTGAGGAGAAGGGATAATCCTTACTAAGCAGGGAGTCCCACCGGGATTTTGTGAGATTTTCAGAAAGCCACAGAGACGCCCTAAAAAGTAACTGCTCACATGGAAATTGATAGCAGGTACTGTTTAGAGACAAGAAAGCCAAGATCAGGTGGGCTGTTTCTTAGGGCCAGGGCTAGATGGGACACGATCTCAAGCCAGCAACTCAAGGAGGCCTATGAATATCATATATCCCCTCTACGTACCCTGAGGCACTGACCCACACATTTAGAAATGATGGTACAAGGACAGAGAGTCTACGATCAATACCCTGACAAGCTGTTTTCCTCTGACACCTGTCTCCACTTCTGCACAACCATTTCTAGGACTGATTCACTGCTGATTTCCTGCTGTGAAGATCCTGGTATTCCCTATGGCAGGGACTTCACTGAGCAATAAACTCAGGTCGTCACTTGCTTGCTCCAGTTTCCTTGTCTGGGCCTTCTCAGCTCTCTAGGATCTGCCCACGTCCCTCAGCGCCTCACCTTCTCAATTCCTGTAATACCTGTTCTCTTTCAAGTTCATGGCTTTTGCCCATTCTGCAACATTCTTCCTTCAAATTCTTGACTGATGGCCTTGAAGGCTACATCTAAACAGCACATCTTTAGGGACGATTCCCTGAAACTATCTTTTCTGGCCACCTGTCTATTCCATCACCTCTTCCTTTCCAGGAACTGACCACCATCGCGGCACATGCTGCAATCTTTGACCCAGCCTCTTTGCTTATTGAGTTTCTATGCTCCCCAAAGGCAGGACCTTCCCAGTTTGTCCTGCATCTTCATGCATTGAATACAGGGCCCATTACTTGTATGAAACACTGGGGAGATTCAACAGAAAGCATACCATGAATCAAAGCATGCCAGATTAGTGAAACTCAGAACACTGAAGCAAAGTGCATCAAATTCAGGGTGCTCGATGAGAAGACGTAATGATACCATGGAACTATCCCTATCCGCCCATTACCCCAAGGTATAATACAGATGGAGCCATGGAGGCTCAGGAAGGTCTGGAAATGGTTCACTCAGTGGGTTGAGCCTGAGCAGGCTCCCAACTCACATCACCTAATAGTTTGATTCATTGTTGACCTCACATGTAACACCATCATGGAATTGCTACCTGAGCTTATATTAGGACTGGTTAACTTCCTGTAGGAAACAACGTGAGCTTTTTACACATAAAGCACTTAAACAATGAGAGTGTAAACTCTTCTTTGTAGAAAGCTGAAAACTGAATTGAGGTAGGAAAAAAATTCTGAAAAAAGTAACTATCATTAAGAGGGTGGAGACAGGGGAGGAGAGAAGAGTATGACTCTGAAACTCTGTAAGGCAGAGAGGTGAGTTCAAGGCCCCTGGAATCGTGTGGTCAGAGTGGAATGAAAGGCAGTGATGATGCAGAAGAGTTGAGTTGGGAAATTTTTGTGGATTTTCATTCTGGCCATGATGCATCGAGTGGGACAGATCCAGGCCTCCTGCTGTATCCAACCGTAAGGCTGAACAAAGAAACTAGTTTGCAGACCTCATCAACAGGTGGTGTCATCCACAGAGCAGACCTGGTGAGCCCCAGACCATTCCAAGTTTTCCTATAGAGATGGTCAGCTCAGGGAACACGAAGACAGGCCAGATGAATCATGCAAGCTCACAGAACCTGAACCAAAGGGACTTCTGAGGTGGCTGGAATTTGCAGGGCAGAATAACAAAGAGAAAAGAACTGAGTTGAGAAAGAATTCTAGAAATGTGCAGTCAGGCTTCCTTGAAGGCTTTAGCTGAATTCTAACTTACTTGTACAGAGTGAGTTTTGGCAAAGCCCAGGAGAAAACAGTTAAGGGGGTGGTTGGGGCAAAAGCTGTGATCTGAATGAAGACTCAGAGAGACTAGAAGATCTTTGAGGTCCCACCTGCCAGAGAGGAGAAGGCTTCAGGTATAAGTCAAGCATTCAGCAGGAACCCAGAAAGACCACACTTTAGAAGAGTATGTAATCTCAGAATAGGAACGGTTCCAGACTTGCTCTAACGCAGTTTAAAACAAGACTTGGAAGTACCAAGTTGACCTTTCAATTAACTGCCCCCACAGAACAAAGGCAACACCCTTCAGAGGAAGAAAACAAAATCTAGGGAAGTCCACAATATAGCACCCACAAGATGCAGCACAAAATAAACAATCAGTTTTGAGGGGGGGGACCAAGAAAATACAGTTAAAACCCAAGAGAAAAGCCAATCAAAAGAAACAAAGAAATAAAAGAGATGATAGAATTATGACAAGGACCTTCAAACAGTTACTGTGAGTATGGCTTAATGAAGAGCATGAATATAAAAAAGAGAACAATGGAGGCTATAAAAAGGCCGGGCGTGGTGGCGCTCGCCTTTAATCCCAGCGCCCCAGAGGCAGAGGCAGGCAGATCTCTGAGTTCAAGGCCAGCCTGGTCTACATAGTGAGTTCCAGGACAGCTGGGGCTACAGGGAGACCCTGTCTCAAAAAGATCCCCTCCGCCCCCCAAAAAAAGGATCTGCAGAGATTAGATATAGTAGAAGAAAAGATTAGTGAAGCTGAAGGCAGGGACATAGAATAATGCAAACTGAAGTACAGACAGAAAACAAGGCTGAAGAAATAAAGCCTCCGTTGACATACGCACTATCAGACATTTAATACATAGGTGATTAAAGACAAGAGGAAAGGGTAATTAGGGAAGAAAGACACAAATCTCATGATCAAAGGTGCTCAGTGAACCTCAGGTAAGAGAATGCATCATAATCAATTTGTGAAACACCAGTATCACAGAGAAGTATTTAAAAGCCATTATAGCAGAAGGAGAACAACAAAAAACATTAAATACAGGAAAAAAAAAAACCCAACCAGGATGTCCTCTGGCTTCGCATCAGAAACATCATAAACCAGGAGAGAAGGAGAACAACAAAAAACATTAAATACAGGAAAAAAAAAAAACAACCCAACCAGGATGTCCTCTGGCTTCGCATCAGAAACATCATAAACCAGGAGATAAATGAAAGACATTTTTAAATGCTGTAAGAAAAATTTCTCAAGCTGGAATTTCAGAGAAAACGGTCTTTAAAAGGGAAGGCAGCTGGGTGTGGTGGTGCACACCTTTAATCCCAGTACTTGGGAGGCAGAGGCAGGCAGATCTCTGTGAGTTCAAGGCCAGCCTGGTCTACATAGTGAGTTCCAGGACAGCTGGGGCTACAGGGAGACCCCGTCTCAAAAAAACAAAACAAAACAAAACAAAAAAAAACAAAAAAGAAAAAAGAAAAAAAGAACTAGAGATGGCTCAGTAGCTAAGAGCACTTGCTGGATAATCAGGAGGACCAGACTTCAGATCCCAGCAGCCATATAATAAGCTGGGTGTCTTC